CCAGCCGAATACCCTATCATCATAGAAATCCTGAAAGGACATCCCATAGGATACTCTTTATCTGCTAATACACCTGTTCCAATGGTGTATTTACAACAATTCTGGAGTACGCTTATTTTGGAAAAAGACGGGGACACCATTTATTTCGAAGGAGAAGTTGACGAATATGTCAGTCGTCTGACATTGAAACGTCTAAGAAGAATTCTTCGTCTGCCCGGACCAGGYTCTACTGGTTTTGAAGACTTTGTATCAGATGAACAACTGTGTTTGGACATCAAACGTTTAGGATACTCGACAGAATTGAATAATCCAACTCAATTCAAAAGACTATTCCTACCATCAATCTGGCATTTGTTGTTCTCAATTTTGAACAGATGTCTGACGTCAAAGACAGCGGGCATAGATACTTGCAGTAGCTCGTTTCTCAAATTCTTTCATGGCATTGTCTTCTCGAGAAACTATGACTATGCTTTAGTCATATGGAATGAGTTGGTAGAGCTGGTCAATGCAAAAAGATTCTCGTCTAAAGCCCGGAAGTTTGTGCCCTTTCAGAGATTTTTGCAATTGTTTATTAAGGCTATGATGAATGCTAACGAAGATATTTCGGCCAGATCAAATTCTGAAAAAGGGCCGACATTCATTATGACTAGAATTCGACAGCATACAGAAGTAGAAGATTTGGATTCTATAATGCCAGTACCACCAGAACTAATTGCCTTAGTTGATCAGACCGCTCAGTGCGTTATAGACTATAGGAGAGTGATAGATCTGATAGCTCAACCAGAACCGGTTGAACTTGCCCAGGGATCACCCCATGCCTCAGTTGTGAGAGAGGAGTTAGAAATAGAAGAGTGAGTTCAGGAACAGGGGTTACCTGAACAGGGAAGTGTGATGAAGGAAAAAGAAATAGAGAGGGGTGAACAGGCGGGGGGAGCGTCTGATCGGCAGAGTACTTCTTCTGACAGTACTTCTACAACTTCTTCAAGTTCGGAAGCTACTAAAACCGATAATGAGGCAGTTTCTAGTGATCATGATAATGATGATGATGATAATAATGATGATGGAGCGGAAGATCATGCTCAAATTGTTGTTTCAACTGTTCCTTCTCAGAATATTCCAATTGGAACACTGGTTGATGACATAGATGACATTTTTCCAGAATATTCAACTCAACAGCCCTGTCTGAGCTTACATTCTTTGTCATTCAATGTTGATGATTATGATCGTATTCTTCAAGATCTTTTCGACATAGAAAGAGATGAGGGAGTTGCAGTTGAAAATGTTGAGAGATTGAGTGAAAGGGACGTAGAAAAATATGGAGAGGGTGAGAGTGGAGCAGAAAAAGAGTATCAAGCTCCTTCCCAAGCTGAAACACATAGCCGGGCACCCACATCTGCTACTGACATTCATTCGTTGAATGTTGGTATTGAACAAGACATAGCTAGCCCAGCTATGCAAATGCACACCCCACCCATCCACTCAACTGGTTCTCAACAACAAGTTGTTTCAATTGAACACGGGGAAAGAGCACATTTGCTAACTACTTCTCATTTGGAGAATGTAGTTATTGAAATAAGTAGGCCGCTGCCCCAGCCTACGACATCGATTCTGTGCACCTCGAGTCTAGCGCCCATACACATAGGTACACATGAGTCTAGAGCATCTGTTGCTCCAAGTGCAGTTCTCAGTGAACTTGCCGGAACGACCGGAGTGGTGTCTTTGGACATTTCACAAGGACAGGTCGGAAGTCCTATCAATGCTAATATTATGCCAACATTGAACGTAGGCACAACAGTTTATTCAACTATTGTTACAACTGGTAATCTAAATGATCCAGGTGTGAGTTTACCCGACTTTGTGTCAAGGGAATATCTGGACGGCGCCCTAAAGGCTGTTCAAGATAATATGGATGCTCAAATGGCCAGTCTGAAAAGACTTCTGAAGGGAAAGGAAACTGTAGAAGAAGAGCCACCATATGCGCCATCACCACCACATGTACCTGAACCGTCAGTACAAGAACAATCGGTGGATGAACTTAAATCGTTATTATATGCCAAATTGATGGCATCTCAAAATCCAGACGCTGAAGATGCAGATTTGGTTGGCCTCTTACGACAACAATTAGATGTTAACCTTTTGTTCGAGCCTCAGAGTTTTTGGCTTTTCAAGATGTTGTTACTTCTAGCTTTTCTAAAGTTAGCAAGTTAGTTACATCCAAAACTCAAGATCTAAAAAGTTCAATGGATGCCCTTGTTGAACGGTTATCTACTTTGGAAGAAACTTGCAGGTCTTAGGCCATATCTCATAAACGAAGGCATGACGATCCGGATGATCCAGATAGTCATGAGGGGGAAAGGAAGAGACAGAGATTGGCCGAGACATCTGAGCAAGCTGCAAGGGTTGGAGAGGAGCCATCAACTCAAGACGTTATTGCTGAAACTTCTGCCCCGGAACCTGTTCGGGAAAGAATAATTGAGGCCATTGTCATAGAAGATGAAGAAATTGAGACAAGTCCTACGATCGAGCCAATGGTTGAAAAGCCGGCGGACTCCACAGTAGGAACAATGATGTTATTGGACTTGTCTGCCAATGTGGGTTTCAACGATGTGTTCTCTACTACTCTGGGTGGATAGCAAGATTTTGGAGAAGACATTGACAACATTGACGAGTCAACTGGGATCTACTTTGATTTTGAAGCTGATATAAATGATGAAGATCCAGTTTTTCCTGTTCAAGAAGACCGTCAGACTGTTCCAGAATCTTTCACTGCAGATGTACCTGATGTGTCAGACGTCGCTGCTCAAAGAGAACATGTTGATCCTACTGAAATCTTCACCAGAAATTATGTGCCATTTCATATCAGAGCGAACTTTCCTGGTTATGATAGAGAAAGAATCTGAGAGCCATNTGTTGATCCTACTGAAATCTTCACCAGAAATTATGTGCCATTTCATATCAGAGCGAACTTTCCTGGTTATGATAGAGAAAGAATCTGAGAGCCATATGTAGAAGATATCTACTTTGGAATTTTCATCCGACATCGAAAAGCTCTGAGCGGTGATAAAGTTCTTGGCATTCATCGTCAGACCAAAGATTACCGCATTGAATACAAACACCTTTTAAAAGGCAAGCGTCTACCGATAAGTGAAGTGCGTACCAAGCATCGGGTCGTCACGATCAAACAAATTGATGCTCAAAAGCTTCTAAGAATCTGGTATCCTGTGTTTACAGTTACTAGACAGGATGGTCAGATCTGGAGATTCAGCGAAGCTGATTTTTCAAGCTTGTACTTGGAAGATCTTGAATATATGTACTTCGAAATTAGAAACATGACAAACAGGAAGGAAGGAGAACTGATTGCTCTTGAAGCTATCAAGAGATTTATGCGTTGTCATGTGAAGCTGGCTATGGTCATTGATGTTCAAATGGGCCTTGAAGACAATCAACGGATCATCAATCTGAAAAGACCAAATCAAGAATTAGAAGATATTGAAGCTTATCCAGTTTATATGATTCTTGAAAAGCCAGAGTTCGGGGTCATATACTTTGCTCAACTTCAAGTGAAGAAATTCATGAGATTTAGTGAGTTGAACAAATATTCTGATGGTACGATAAGATTGGTGAGAAGGGCGCTTGACTTAAAAAGGGTAAACAATGACAGAGCTACTGAATCTGAGAGGATGAGTTCAAAAGAAAGATATTTGTTGATCAATGCGATAAATCTACTCGAGGAGAAAATCCAATACATGAACGCTCTGAGAAGATTAGAGAAAATTCTTGGACTTCGAAAGACGAAATTTACAAGAGTCCAGACTTGAATCCAAAGGGGGAGAATGTTGGGTTTAAGTAAAAGCTTTATTGTTGTATTCAAGTTTCTCCTTAGTTTACTTGCTTTGTAATAGTGTAGCTTTATTATTTCCTTAGTATAAATAGTATTTTCCTCTTAATTGTCATTACCAAGTGATTAGCAGATTGTAATCAAGATTAGAGTTGTAATTCTTTCTCTCTCAATCAAATCAGTAACATTTGATGATCTATTTTCTCTACTATTACATTCATCTTGTTCTTGAAGATCTTATCATTTTTGTATGAATCTTGGACTTCACAGGTTCATATATATATATAGTTGTATTCATATGATTCTTACATTAATAAAAATAAATTAATAAAAATCATATAATTTTTTTGATTTTACAACTCCCAATTAATGATATGGGAGTTAACATAATTTTTTTTACCTAAATACCCTTTTCAACTTTGTTCATTTATCTTTATGAAATTTTAAATTTTAAAAAATAAGTTTTTATCATGATTAATCACAACCGTTTATTGAAAGATTGAATGACCAAGATCGGTTAACAAAGTTAACACAAAAACTTTGGTAAACATTTGAACCTGACCCTATATATATATATTGGTTTCCCATTCATTCATCTACATGATTTACTCAAATATCACTATATCCGCAAGTCCAACGTCTGCCACTTGCAGACCCAGCTGAAAGACAAGAAATCATCATATTCGACCCAGGTCCACAATTACAACGGCTAGGTCCACAACTGTGATGGCCAGGTCTGGAATCGTTGCATTGCGAAGGCCATGTCTACAATTTGATTTTTTTGTCTTTTAGCTAAATCCACAAGTAGCGGTCGACTTGCAGAGGTAATGATATTTTGATAAATCAAGGAGAGGAACGAGACCCATTTATGCAAGAAGAACGGCTATTTTGACCGATTTTATCGGAACCCGTCCTTAAATTTAAACCCAATCCATGGCTCCAAGAAAATAGAAAACCAAACATAAACAAACATATTACATGTTTTGAGATTTCAATACAGATCAACGAGCTTCCAACGTTGACTGCATCGAAAACATAATGGGCTGCTTCTTTCTGATACTTTCAACTCGGCTTTTATTGTGAAAGAAGATGAGCAATTTGAATTAAAACAATCATGCTGCTCATCTTTCTAACCAACGTCGACTAAAATTTTCAACAGCATACAATTAAAACAGCTTTAATTAATCAATCATCATAGACCTAAATTAATTTAGATTTGACAAGGGGTCCCCCTTCTTATATCTAACTAAAACCATTATTTCACACACACCAACACCTCGGATTGGAAAATATACTACTACTGTACAGGGCCAGATGACGAGAAGGCGAAAACCTAGTTGCGTCCCAGCCTCACCAGATGCTGCTGATGTTTTGCAGCCGCCGCTTTATCTGCTGCTTCACGTTTCAGCGTCCTCTTTGCTCGCCGCCCCACTGCCGCCACGTCTCTGGCGGCACAAGCCTCTTTCTTTTTTGGCTCACGAGAAGAGGGACCTGCATCACAGTCCTGAGAGTGAGGTTGTTGATGAATGGGTCTTGCCTCTTGCTTTCCAGCCCTGACATACCCGTTATGTCCCCATCTCCGGTTGCCGATACGGATATTGATATTCAATGACCGTCCCAGATACACTTCATCTAGATCTTCGTCATCTTCTTCTTCTTCATATTCGTACGAGTAAGGATACAAGTCTTCTCCCACATGATGATGATCGTCCAACTCTTCATGGCTCTCCACATGCAAAGGATGAAACCATGAAGCTCTCAGGAGGAGGCAAACACTCTCCTCAAACATGTAGTCATGAATGCTGTTAAAACCACAAAAAAAATGAGGATCACTGCTTATTCACCACATAAAAGAGAAGTTTGTAAACTCCCCTGAAATAATATACAAAAGAGAAACAGAGAACTCAACAGTGACCCTATTTTTTTCTACATGTCTTCGTGTTATAAAATGGTCAGCATGAAACCAAGAGATTGCCTTGGTAGTTGGTTCCTATTTAGTGCAACAAATAGTTTTTTTCTCAATCAATGTAAGAAATTCTTAAAATTTTCTATTTATCGTATAGCAAAGCTTCAAAATTTCCTATTTTGCACCTATTTTGACCTGTAGCCTTTTGACCTAATAGCCGTTGATGACATATATATGAACTTTTCATATATTTCACCATAACCCCTTGTAAACAAGTATCCGCATCATTAGATGTTTAAAAATCAGCACGTTAACGATCAAAATGGGTATGAAATAGGAAATTTTGCATCTTTTTTATACATGGATTGAGATTTAAAAAGAACTGTTCCACTAAATAGGAACTAAATCAGACTTGTTGCATTTGCCTTACAAAATCACTTCTGAAAATGCAAAAAGGCTGCAGATACCAAAAATAATAACTTTGAAATCAATTGCATATAACAAAGAGAAACTTCCAAAATAGATGTGGCATATTTACACCACTAGAAGTTTGAATTTGAGTTGCTCATAATCTTCACAATCAACTTCTCTTCAAGGACAGAGGATACTCCACATTTTGAACTAAAGGATGCCTTATCATGCCTAGTGAACAGCCATCACTAGTCCATATCAAATGGCACGACTTCCTGGCTGATATTCTAGCCAAGTTACAATGAGGAGAGGTAAGAATTGGAACGGTACCTGCCATCGAGAGAACGATGGATATTGAGGAACTCGAATGGATGCTTGCATTGCGGACAAGTTGGTTCCTTCTTATATGTGGCCCACCGGAGGATGCAGATCACACTATAGGAGAAAGGACAATAGAATAACTTCACTGAGGATGCATTTAGTAATTAACAAAAGATATATTGTGTATTTGTATTCAATGCAAATGAAGTGCTCTCAACTATTTCACCCAAAACCATGAATGAACACAACGACCAAGGAGAGTACGACAGACAAATATCCCTCTGCACATTTCTTTAGCAGCAGGCCGGTGCCATGAATATTAAATTCTACAGCCTCTGATATCTTCAACTGAAATTCAGAGGTACATACCAAGTAACAGCCAGAACATGCATATCCATGTTGTTTAAGTTATGTTTGAAGCCATGTAAACTTCAGATTATGACACACAATATGCACCACAAAATCTAACCACATAAAAAGAACCCCAATATATAAAGTCCTCAGCAGGTCAAACAAGCATGTAAAATTTAACCACCAAAGAACATAATATGCAAAAATGACAGTAGATATAACCTAAACCATTATTCATGACTTCCTAAGATGGTTTATAAACAAGGCTCATTGAAAGCCATAAGAATCATCTAGAGAAAGCAATTGAAACCAAACCAAACATATCCAGCATACCTCATTCGGAAGTAGGGTCTGGGGGTTAATATGTATGCGAACTTTTCCTCTCCCCAAGAGGTAGAGAGGTTTCCATGGAGATGTACGGCTTGGGGAAAAAGGGCATACATGAGTTAAACGGGGAAGTTGTAAAAAAAAAAAACTTGTGTTGGGACTTTAAGAAGAAACTAGAGCGCATGAGACATGGGAAAAAGAATATACGAATGAGAGTGCACGAACATGCAACAAAAAAAAAATTAGTAACATCATTCAACAATAACCGCATTAAGGATCTATGTAAATAAAACTATTAGAAACTAGCCAGCACAAGGTAATGTCAAGGGTAAAGTATGAAAACAGCAAGCCATTAAAGAGGACCATATCCTCTCTCTCCAACCACGATAGAGCATTTCTATTGAATATTTCGGCTCTTTACCCCTCCCTATAGTATCTACTGGTCTAGATAAATATTTGTTACTATAATGTTGCTTCTCCAAGAACTCCTATTTAAACCCATGTCCTCAGAAAAGGTTTAAAATAACATGTCTAGCCTTAGCTACTCGTCCACATCCTCCTCAAATTGCCCCTCCTCCTCACCCCTTCATTTGTTATGCTATCCACCCCCTCGAACTTGCTCTCAGTGTGTTTTGTATTTCCTTGCCTTTTGTATGCTCTCATAGTATCTGCTAGATAATTTTTTTATTTTTCTCGTTCTATGTTTACCATGTGCTAGAATTTGTTCCTTCTACATGTTCGCTCACACTCTTGCACAAACTGGCGATCTTCATAAATCACAAAAATAATCCCCCACGCTAATTACGAATAGGATTTACTGGGTCGGACATCAGTTTGGTTCTTTGGTTTATTTGTCTCCTCCTAACATGACAAAGCCATCTCTCGATTTATTAATGATAGGAAGTACTACACCCACCCTAGGAACTTTGTCTGCATCATATCCACATGTATCATAACCCATACGGTTCAACCAAATGTCCATCTCAATATCCTTCATCTTTGTAACTTCCAACTTCCTCTCATACGCCTTCTCAATCATGCGCTCTCATAGTTATATGATGTCTCTAAATATCTTTATACCCGAATAGTTCCGCAGCTCCGTGTGTCGCCTTCGTTCTTATAGATTAGCACCACCATGCTAAGCGTCCACTTTTCAAGCATCTTAACACTCTTGAGAATGGCATTAAAGAGCTATGTCGACCATAGCGCACCCGCCTCTTCTAGGCACAACCATGCCTCAATGAAAATCTAGTCAGGGTCCGCTGCCTTTTCCTTCCCCATTTTCAACAGTGCCCTTTCCATTTTCTCCTTCGGTTATTCTTCAACAAAGACAGTGATGGTAACTAAACCCAAAATTGATTAACTATTCAGATTGTATTCCATCACACTATCTAATTTATCTATTGAATGTACTCCTATGATCCTACACATGTTAATTATAGATATCATCCAACCCTCTTTATGTAAGTCATGCACCCTCCATGGTGTATCCAAAGGCCTTCATTAGATAGGAAAAGGTTGATGCTTTTCCCATTTTGCACAAGGGAGTAGCACTCCAAGTAGCCGTCAGATATGATCGTTTGTTCCTTATATGCAGCTGCATCTTAACTCTCAACTTCGATACATGATGTCATTTGACAGTAGGATTCTATCAATATAGTAGGCCTCACTCAGCATATCCTTCACATTGTGTTCAAATATGCACAAAAATATAAACAAACCAAAAAAAAGCCATTCCAGGTAGATCCAATTTCGTTAATTAATTATGAACAGTGCGGACACCCATATCGATTATTCTGTTGTGTCTTCTAAAGCATACTATAAACCATAACATTTTTTGCCGACCACTACAACTGCAGATAGAGATTCAGTTTCCATCAGTGTGGCCTGCCAATGTTGATTCACTATAATAGCTAGGACAAAAACCGACAATCTTGTCTTGGTTACAAAGTAACATAAATATTATCTGTTCAGATTCAAGCTGCAACATGATGTAGATATTACACGCACAATCAACCATTTTTTCTGGTCCTATTGAAACGAAAGATAAACGTATCAACAAATCGGGTAAGTGCATCTCAGTGTATTGAATCAACAATCAAGCCCTACATACAAATGTAATAAACGATTGTGATTGTGGAGAGACAAACCAGTAGGCATGCTCGCAACCTTTTACGAGGGCGGTTTCCTGTAATGCAATCTTATTCAAACAAATTGCACAAACCCCATGATGATCTTCATCAGCTAATAATGTTTTGGGATGCTGCCTCTCTTCGCTAGTAGAAACCACTTCCTTCTTCTCCCCAGAATTACAACCCTAGATTAATTAACAGAGTATCAAAAAATCAAACATCCCTCCAAAATTAAATTCCCATAGAAACAAAACCCTAACGCACTAATTTCAATATCGAATACAGATTGGAATAAAATCTGGGATGCTGATTCATATAGTAGGGTACCTGGGCATGGATTGAAAGATCCGGAAGGGCGGTGATGAGCTGTTGTTGTTGACCATCGATCTCAATGGCTGCATCCATGGCGATAGATTGGTTTGGATGTGATTTGAAGCAAGAAAAATAGTGTTTGATGATGGAAAAATGAGTTGGTAGAAAAGGAAGAAGAAATTGATGAGATTCTTAAGGAATTATTCGGATTCCAAAGGAGAGGAGAGAGAGGGCGAGTGCCCTAACAAGAGGGATTAAGATGTGGATATCATAACGAGCGGCATTTACCAAGGTTCGTTTTATATGCACTACTTTGTTTCACCGACTCGGGCTTTGGGAATTATTGTGTCACCCAGAAATGGGTCCGACCCGGCCCAGTTGGAACCGGTGGTGGACTGTAGAGATGGCCAAATGGGCCCGGCCCGGCCCGGGACCGCCGGAGGACCGGGACTGGGACCGACAAAGGACCGGCCCGGGACCGGTAAGGACCGGTTATGGGATCTAAAACCGGGACCGGTTGAGGTTTTTGGTAGTTTCGTAGGACCGGGACCGACCGGTTATGGGACCGACTATGGACCGGCCCGGCCCGGCCCGAAAATTCAATTAATTTTATAAATAAATGTATTTTTAAATAATTTTATAATGTATTTTTATAAGAAAACGTAATTTTAATTATATTAAAACGCATTTTTAAAGTGTATTTGAGTGACCCAATTGTAAATTTTATAATGTATTAAAAAGATATATCATTAAAAAAATAAAATAAAAAATCTTATTTTTTTAATGAAGGACCGGTTGGGACCGGTTGGGACCGGGACCGGGACCGGTGGCCCATAACCGGTTATAAAGTACCTATACCGGTCCTATCATTTTCGACCGGGACCGGTACAAAGACCGGGACTGGTTACGCCGGGACCGGTTATGGCCGGTTATGAGAATGGTGAGGACCGATTGGGACCGGCCCGGGACCGGCCCGGGACCGGTTTTTGGCCATCTCTAGTGGACTGTTAAGCCGTTAAGGCCTGCTACTCCAAAACGGATTACCCCTTTTAAGAAATTTCAGGCCCCATTTTTTACCCATACCAATTACGTATCAGTGTTGTACCCGTGACATGACTTTAAACATATTCTAAACGTTCCTGAAACAGAAATAAAGGCATACCATACAATTGTTGGCAAGTCTAATAACGCATACAATACTTGAATTTTCGGTGTAGATGCTTCATAGTTGGTTCTCATCCTTCAGAGATTACGAGTGTAATAGGAGCATCCGTTGACAAAAGGGATACAAATATGTGCACTCGAATGGCTCCCTACTTTCTGTTGCGGTCTTCAAATTCTCGTAGAGAAACCATGCATGAATAACCACTATAAATAAAATCTTGATTGCAATTGCAATGATTTTTTGAACCTGAAAAACAAAATTTGGTTAAAACCTTATATGTGCAAAGTGTTCAAAGATATACCAAAAGTTTGTGTTGATTCATGAAAAGCTAACATATTAGAAGATTGGAAGATTAAATGGAATAATTAATCAAAGCATACAAAACAGTTATAATAAAAGTGTGGAAAAATACTTCTTTTTATTGATCTTTCTCATAGACAAACTTTCGAACACCTTGTATGCATGAGTTACATTTGCTACAATATCTTGAAAGATGGTGTCTAGTTGTTTCAATAAAAGAAACAAATGCAGCAAAATGAAGGCATTTTCAGCCTCAGATAAATCCTAAGTAGCTCTCAGCATGCCAAGACTAAAGTGGTAATTAGTCAAAAAGAATTTTACTTTTCACACTCCCATATCTATATCTTTTTCACTGCTCCAACTTTTGGAACCACCACACAAACTGCATAGATGGAGAAAAGGTCGAAGGCAGCAGAAGGGCCTAAACCTATTAATGTCACAATCAATTCATCCAATTCAAAAACGTTTCCATGTGCATTTGTTTGTTTTTGTGACAAATTGAGTCAATAAAATCCAACATATAAGATAAGAGGATATAAAAATGGCATTGAACCTCCAACATAGAGTTGGCTAATACTCTGTATTGCATCGATGGTAGCCAAAGAGATATATGGGAAGCTGATTCTAAAAGCCAAGAGTGTAATGTCTGTAATTGAAAATTTTCAAACTTTTTCATGTTTTTTAATTTTTGTATTGGTAGTAGGATGAATCTCCACCACCATCCGAGTTTGTTATACAATGGACCGAAAAAACCTTGCAGTTATGGTCGAGACTCTAAGGAAACAATAAATAAGTGCTAGAAAATACAAAAATGCACAAACCCATCTCCAATTGAAGCTTCACCGTGGAAAATAAATTTGGTTTCACATGTCTCGTCCACAATAAGGTCGTGAGCAATCTATTGTGTTGTAACATTATGCACTAGAGCTATTTCTAATCAGATATCCTAGAGAAAGAGAAAGTTATGTTTAGTGAAGCTTTTGAGGAAGGAATGATAGCAAGTGAATTGGCATACCTGGAAGGAGACTATACGACATCGTCTTTCCTTTCTAATAGCATGGTGATTGGGAAAAGCAGAGGCTCTAATTGAATTGCATAAGTGATGTATTTGGAGATTTAGAAGCATATTCAACATATGTGTTTCATAGTTGATACAACTGGAAATCAATCTACAAAGAACTAAATGATCTATGAATTTAATTGATCAAGAATTCTTCTATACAAACGAAATTATCTAAATTACAATATATGTCATAAATTCAACTTTGCATCAACAGACATACGTACTTATATAGATGGAGACCAATGCCATTGAATATCATATTTAGAAGAACTTGAAAATTAACTTACACAAAAATTATAACTTGCCTTTTTCTTGAATCAATAAGAATTGCATGTCGGGGATTTGAAGAAATTAAGCAGGAGAAGAAAGGTAGAGCGTGGATTGCGAGAAAGAGATCAATAGAGTGAGTCTACTTGTTATGGTTTTGGCTTTTGGGGGATGTGGGTTTAGGAATTAGGCGTGCTTTTTGGGACTTGTTCGTGGGTTAAGGAGAGATTCAGGGGAGTGAACATGGAGAGTTGGAAAGTGCTTAACAAATTGTACTTAGTGTATATATAAAAGGTGTATAATGGAAAATCAAAAATTAAGATATTAAAAATAAGATTTAAAAATAACTCAATACATATTTAATAATATTATTAAATTCAAAAATATCTGATATTGAGCACATTTTGAAGCTATTAATGAGACAATTATAATGATATAATTTATAAACAAAGAAACGTTTTTTAATATATTTTAATTAATATACTATTAGTTATGTTAATATGAGAAGGGTATAAAGTGTAATTTAAAAATAAATAAATAATTTTATTTGTTAATTATCATGTTGGACCTTGGAGGTTGTAAAACTTCAAAATTGTACATGATGCATCAAGATTTGTACCTTTAAAAATTCAACAATAACTATCATATATAACCGCAAAATAAACAATTTAAAGGGCTAAGATTTAGTATTAAGTTTGATTTAAAGGGCTAAGATTTAAACGGTGGTTTTTTGACTCACCTGGTCAATTTTATATATAATAGGGATCTTGGGGGCTTTGACGTGTTGCTAGACGCTTACCACTGTCTGTGTTATTCGTGTCATGTGCAAGTGGGAGACTATAAGTTTATCTGCCAACGTCATAATATTATGCCACCAAAATCACGTGAACATATAGCATCGCACAAATTGAATCTTTATGCATTAATGCGATCATTGGATGACCAGGAATCCCGATATGTATATTATATGTTTATAATAAAGTATATGTATATATGGATAATTTTATGGTTATAATTGGTCCTATATACATTTATATTATTCTAGTAGAATAATAATTATTATATATGTCTAAAATATAATTATGATAATTACTGAAGTTTTGCAATTATTTAAATTTATTGTTATAAGGTTTATCAATTACGTTATATGGGTTTGTGATAGTCTAAGCTAGTTTTGGACTCTTTTGTTTATTTATTTAGCTCATATTAATTTATTTTAGCCCGTATTAAAAGCCTTTAAGATGGGAAACTTGGGGCCAAAACAGGAAGGAGAATTTATACATGCTTCCTTCTCACATACCCAAGGTTATACTCTCATCCTCATTTCCTTCTTTGTCGTCGAATTTTTTAGAGAAGCTCTCTCCCAAATTCGGTTCTTGCTCTTGAAGCAAGAAGGATCGAAAGGGTATGCTACCTTGTTGATTATTAATAGAAAATGCATACACATTCAAAATAGGGATTCTAAGCTAGCACTAGATTGGAGCTTAGATTCAAATATGCTAATCTAAAGAGTATAGAAGTCCTGCTTTTAAGAGAAAATACATACGTAAAAGTCTTGCTTCGGATTCAAGATTCAACTTTCTACCTTCTTAAAAGGGTATACCTTTTTTTGCCTTCTTTAATTATATGTTTTTGTGTCCTACATGTGTGTTATTGGATCTACATATTGGGTTTGACATTTTATTGCATAAAGTTTGTAACTTTATGTAATAATATGTTTCTTTGATTTTTATGCATGTAAACAAGTTGTTTGTACATAAAGTTTGAAACTTTATATTCATGCATCCTTCTTTATGTAAATACTATTTCATGCCTATAGATTTATGGAGTTTGAATCTCTTATATTTACTAGATTGAAACTTGACAGTTTTGATTTTACGTCTAAAATTGTTTTACAATATGTCGGTTCAAACTTTATGTTAGTATATGCTTGTTATTCAAACATTTTGGCATGGATTTTTTTTGGCTTCCGTTGCTGTTGCACGTTTGATCGCTATAAAACCCATCAAATGATGATCTGATCTACAAGTTTGAGAAACTTTAATGTTTCTTCAGAGCCCGTGAGTGTGCTAAATATTACTAGAACACTAAAGATATTTAGAGATGGTCTTGATAAGAACATATTAAGAAATCTAGACACGTGTTCCAGAATTGAAGAGTTGATCAATGTCTAGATTAATCTTAGAGAGCTTATCCTGGCCAAACTTCTTTCAATTGCTTAAGAGTATCTTTGAACACAAAGGAGGAGATTGAAATTCCTACATTAAGTGTTGGTTCAAAGATTGCTAAGTGCTAAGTCCGAATAGAAGGTTTAGACTTGGGCTCAGAGATCTGAAGAAAAAGACTCAGAGATCTGAGCATGAAGGCTTAGATGTCTGAAAGGAAGTCTGAAGTGTTTATTCAGACTTTGTGCTTAACTGTTGTTCTTCAGATCATGTACAAGGATCATGAACATATTAGAACAAGTGGCTTAATCT